CGCCGACTTTAACGAGTTGTCGCTTCTTATACATTTACGTTCTTTGGCTGGGCTCAGAAAATGCACCGCCCAACGCTTTTGTTTAGGTATGGCAGTTAAGGGTCGCTAACGTGTTAAACAGCGGAGCAACTCGGCCGCAGCCAGCCGCAGCGATGTATTTCATTTGACAACGTAGTGACATGTGGTTTGACAACTGAATCTTGCCAATAGGCAAAAAGTGGGCTCGGCTCTTCTTTAATTTAATAATAAACGTAGAATATTCGCTTGTGCTTGTTTTACATAAGATAAACATTACATTGGAGGTGAAAAAATGTACACACAAAGAAAATAAACATTTTGCAGTGTTTAAAGGTAAAATTAGAAAAGACAGAAAAGTCGATGACCTAATTCAACAAGTTCGTAGTTGTGAAAAGGTCGAGAAGTTTTCATCAATTGCATAAAATATTGTAAATTATAGTATATAAAATGACTTGAAAATATCCAAATTCATCAGATAATGGCAAACAGATAGTTTCGTACGTATTAACAGCACAGTATATGTATATACATGTATATGGGTAAGTATGTACATATAAGTTTGTAGTCCAATTGGACTTTAGCCAATCAGATTCAAGCACCACTTGGTGGGCTCGTCTCAATTGTTGATAAACAGACAATCAAATTATCTGATATGTAATATTGACCGGTGGGCTTGCGATGACGTCACGAAACAAGCGTGCAGAATAAATCTAATTTACGCTGCGTTTACATAAGACAATTTGTGGCAAGACAAATCCAAACAAATAAAGACAATATATTTTTCAGCAACCGCCGTTAGTGTAGTTTGGCGTGAATTTCATATTATTTACTAAAATATTCAAACACAAACCACTTTTCATAATTCTGCAATTTTTTGCGATTTTGTCTTACCGAAGTGTGGATGTATTTGTGAAAAAGTGTGAATGTATTTCCTATGTCTTGTCAAAATTGTCTCCTGTAAACGCCGTGTTATTTAAAAAAAAAAAGAAAATTCAAGAAATCACCAGCTACTTAGGGCCAGTTTTTCAGTGCACGGCCGTGGTTTAAACTCAGTTTAAACGCCCGATCTGGCTGGTTTAAACTAAGATTAGCCAATCAAATGTCACGACAGCTGTTTAATTTAAACTCAGTTTACTTAGTCTAAGTTTAAACTGGCACTGAAAACCTGGCCCTTAGTAAGCTTAAAGAAAGATATACTGAAAACGCGTCAGGTGGTCTAAATTCTTCGATTATTAATTTAAAAAACGTATGGCTCCTTCTATGTAGTGATGGCACGATTAATCGAATAACCGATTATAATCGGTTATTTTCATTCGGTTAACGATTTAATTGTATCGAAATTAGCCCTATCTCAGATGAAAATGTAGTGAAAATGTGCTAAGAAAGGGCGTTTGGCGTTCTTCAATAAATTTTGAGATAGGGCGTTCTTCCATCAAACTCTTAAATAGGGCGTTGTTAAAAAATTTTCTTAGATAGTGCGATTTCGAACTGGCTGCCGAGATAGGTTGAGCTTCCACTTAGCCATTGATATGTGGTCGCCGGGGACCAGTAGGACGCAGTGGATGAAGCTACAGACTACACAAAATACAGCACTCCGGACAGCGACCGGATGTCTTCTGATGTCGCCACAACATCACCTGCACGACGAGGCGCAAATGCTTCCCATAAAGGAGCACAACACAATGCTCTGCCAGCAATTATTAGTAGGGAGCCCCAGATGGGGACACCCGAACAGACACTTGCTTGCAGAGGAGCCTTAGCCAAGGTATCTTTATGAAATGACGGACGAAGTACAGAGGTTCATATTCCAACCCCTGGACCCGAATGCATATCGAAAGGCCTTAAACGGCATTCACAGGGAGTCGGTCTCAAGTTACGTAGACTCCAGACCTGTAAATGCTGTCCATCTGACGTAGATGAGACGGAGCTTCGGGAGCCCAACTAAGCACTGGCTACTCCAGCAGGTTAAACTCATGCCTGAGCAGAATAGATGCGGATGTGCCTAATGAGTGTCCGGCATGCGGAGAGACACCCCACGACTCGAAACATCTCTTGGAATGTCCACAAAACCCCACTAAACTGACGCCTCTATCCCTATGGACAGACCCTATAGAGGCTGCACGCTCCTTGGGCCTCCCGTTAGTTGAACTTGACGACAATGACTAAGAGACAAGCCGATTTGGGATGGGTTGCTGTTTCCTTGTGCTTTCTGAGGACTGGGAAAATTTGAATTAAATCAATTTTGAAAAATATGTGCGACACACAGTGTGAAAAATGAAATTATTTTGTGATTAAATATAATACATAACTCTAAAACGAAAACAAATATTGACATAAAAGTAGCGGTATTTTAAAGCTTCTGCGATAGACAACTCAGAAAAAATTGTCTAGTTGTATAAAAAAATTACCTTTGACAATTGTCAATTCTGGAAATTGCACTGAAAGCTTTTTTCTGTCCTTCGAAAAACGAATGGAATGATCTGCTAAAGAGGCGGTATTAGCATTATTCTGTTGGTATTTTAGCAATCAGTTTTATAAAATTTAATTCTAATAAAAAATATATATATTTTTCGTTTTGAAACGATAAAAACTAAAAGAAAAATGCGAAATAAAATAAAATAATTCTCTGAAAATTAAACTAAATAAAAAAAGTATATATTTTTCTTCCTCAAGCAATGATATCTAAAAACTAAAAGAAAAATTAACTTAAAAAAGAAAAAAAATTAAATAAAAAAAATCTTTTTAAAACAATAACATCTAAAAATTAAAAAAAACAATACACTACTAAAGTAAAAAAATAAAATTAAACAAAAAAAAGAAACGAAGTATAAGTTTCTAAAAATTAAATGAAATTAAAATATTTTCTTTTAACAATATATATATATATATCTCATGATCCACTGATCGGATCTTAACCAGATTAGTATGGGACCACCTATGAGACACTACCTAAAAATATAAATTTTTAGTTTGTAACTAACTTTAGAGTCGACTTTATTTTGACTAATATAGCTACTCGTCATTATGTCAACATCATTGGCAATGATGGCGGATGCTACTCAAGCATTTTGAGTTATCGTTTGTGACGAAGCCTCAAACAACCGTTAAACCCAACACTTAGTCCAAAAGCAATAAACTCAATTGATTACAATTTATAGAGCTCCAAATCAACACGTCTTGATAAATCGATTACCATGATATGTACTATTTATGAGCTCACTAATCAGGTCTGCGAGGCACACATTTTCGATTGGTTGATCGGAGTAAGGTTGAAAAACGTTTAACAAGTGCGTGTCCAGATAGTTATTTACATATTTCTTTAATAGCAAAAGAGATATTTTAAAGAAATAATGACGGTCTTCCTTGCCTTTGTACTGCTTGCAATAACCACATCTGGCTTATCTGCACCATTGAGTCAATATATAGAGGAAGATCCCGAACTGATAGCCGGCTATTTTCAAGGGGATATTGTATTAGCTCCTTCACAACGAAATGGAGTACGTAACGAAACTCTACGCTGGCCAAATAATACCGTATACTACAAGATCAACGATGGGTTTTTCGGTAGAAATTAGTAACCTTTTTTTTTGTTTTGGAAAGTGAAATTAAATAGTGATTATTTAATATTGCTTTTAGATGAGGAGCATAGGAATCATATCCTACGAGGCATTGAAATCTTAGAAAGCCTTTCGTGTATACGCTTTCAAGAAGCCACAGCAGAGCAGACATATTACGTCAACATCACTGGCAATGATGGCGGTTGCTACTCAAGCATTGGTTGGTTGAATGGCATTCAATATTATAATCTTCAACATTATCCTCTTGATACGGGCTGCTTCCGTCTCGGCACAATTGTACATGAATTCCTGCATACACTTGGCTTCTTTCACATGCAGAGCGCTGCAAATCGTGATGAATACGTACGTATCGATTTCGACAACATACAAGAGGGTATGGAGTTTAACTTCGAGAAATATGACGAGGACTATATAGATGATTACGAGGAGGAATACGACTATGGAAGTATATTACACTATCACGAATATGCATTCTCAGTGAATGGCGAAAAAACTATTATACCATTGAAAGACGAAGGGGCTGTAATAGGTCAACGACGGGGCATGAGCAACAGTGATATCAATAAATTGAATACAATGTATCGCTGTCCAATAAAGGTTTAGTGAGAAACGTTCTTTGAATGATTAAAAAGGTGTTATTTGTAATTGGCCAAAGTGCAATGTGATTTCACAGAGGTAGTAATAAAATAAGCAGTAAGCAAAAAAAAAACAGCCGACTTCATTTCTCATATACAAATTTTATTATTATTAAGTGCTCCGGTAAGGGCCTTAATAAGAAAGAACATTTCTTTTCTTTTTAAACTTGTGCGCAATTATAGAAAGGCCAGGCAATACTGGAAGTTTTACAGGGTGA